TACAGGTGCACGCTACCACGCCCAGCTAATTTTTTTATTTATTGTAGAGATGAGGTCTCGTCAAGTTGCCCAAGTGGGTCACAAACGCACGGGCTCAGGCAATCCACTCACCTCAGCCTCCCAAAGCGTGGGATTACAGGCTGAGTCACCGTGCCTGGCTCATAATGTTATTAGTGTGATGACATTTCAAACTCAAATCAACAAGTATTTTTTGATCAATTGTTATATACCCCAGTCAATGTTTGGTGTTTGGGGTATAGAGAGAAGAATTCACAGCTCTTTCTGAGAACCGCACCTCTGTGTTCCAACAGCATCTACTCTGTTCTGCTCTCATCATGCTCACTCTCTCCTCTATACTCTGTTCTGGCTCTTTGTCTACCCCTGCACTTTACCCACCATGAGAAAAAATGGTGCTTTAGTTAGGTCACATCTCAGTAAATCCTAACAGAGAAGGCATTAATAAGCATGTGGAATCCAATATCTTTTTAGTAAGTAGAGCAGATAGGTATGTCAACAAGAGACTAAAATATGTGCTTTAAATACTTCATGTGCTTTTTTTTTTTGAGTTGGAGTCTCACTCTGTCGCCCAGACTGGAGTGCAGTGGCACACTCACGGTCACCGCAGCCTTGACCTGCTGGGCTCCGGCGATCCTTCCGCCTCAGCCTTCCGAGGAGCCGGAATTACAGGCATGCGCTACCACGCCCGGCTGATTTTTTGATTTATTGTAGAGATGAGGTCTCGCCTGCCCAGGCGGGTCTCGAACCCGCGGGCTCAGGCAATCCACTCACCTCAGCCTCCCAAAGGCGCGGGATTACAGGCTGAGCCACTGAGCCCGGCTTCCATGTGCTTTAAATACTCTCCTCAGGGAGAGATTGGAAAGTAAATTTTACTTTTGTCAGTTTCAGCTTATTGACTGTGCCAGCCCCATTAAAACCTCGTTCTTTGAGAAGATTAATTCTATAGAGAGAGGACAGAGGCAGGTTAGCTTCTACTGTATCACCCATTGTAATTGACTTCCTGACTGAGTATAAATGGCCCGGGAAAAGTGAAA